TAGACCTATATCATTACTTACATCCTTTTCAAAAGTTATTGAAAAGGTTATATTTGTAAGATTGCTCCATCACATAAAGGATAACAGTATATTATCCAACCACCAATATGGTTTCAGATGTGATTCATCCACAGAACTCGCTTCATATAATTTAATTAATGAAATATTAAAGGCCTTGAATAATAAAATAATAAAATGGAGGCATTTTTTGTAACCTAAATAAAGCCTTTGATTGTGTTAATCATGATGTTCTATTATCTAAATTGAAATTTTATGGAATAGTAGGAAAAGCTAATGCGTTACTGGAGTCCTACCTTCATGGTAGACATCAAAGAGTTGTAACTAATAAGAAGTGCACTCACTCAGGTTGGGGTAAGATTATCAATGGTGTTCCCCAAGGATCAATCTTAGGTCCCTTATTGTTTTTGATATACATTAATGATCTGCCAAATATTATAAAGAGTAAATCAATACCTATTCTCTTCGTGGATGATACCAGTATTATTGTTAAGAACTCTAATCGTATTGAGTATGAAAATGAACTAAATTTAATATTGAAAAATATAAATGAATGGTTTAAGGCTAACTTACTGACATTGAATCTCAATAAAACGTACTTTATGCATTTCTCAACCAAGAATAGTATTACAATGGACATACCTATCATTTATAGTAACAGTCAAATTGCTACAACTGTTGATATTAAGTTCCTCGGTTTGATGATAGGTAATACCCTATCATGAAAATGACACATTGACTGGCTCATGTCCAAACTGGGTTCAGCTTTCTATGCAGTTATGGCTATTAAACCCTATATGTCTTTAGAATCAATGAGATCAGTATATTTTTCATATTTTCATTCTATTATGACATATGGCCTAATTTTCTGGGGTAATTCACCCCTCTGCATCCATATCTTTAGACTACAGAAGAGGGNTTCTGCAATGTCAGATAATAATGTTGTACCTGTAATGATGTGATGGTTGAGACGGCGTAAGAGAAGGCAGGATGAAAGGAAACATTGGGTGCATAAGTTATTTCGCGACAATTTATACCCAGGTGCTTACATTGTTTTGAAAGGATTTAATCGGGATCCAGAATTGTTCAAATCATTTTACAGAATGAGCATTGAAAGTTGTTTTTTTTTTTGTGGATCTTGTAGGGCCTCAAATTCGAAGACAATATACAAATTTTTGGCCAGCTGTGACAGCAGAACCACAGGAAATATTTTAATTTTGTATATTCTAATTCTTATTGTTATATTGGGATTTTGGACTTATCCATCGTCCTGGTTTTTAAGATAACTAATAAAAACACGACGTTTCGGAAACCGGATCTGTTTCCGTCCTCAGGTGAATGAAAACACCTATCCTGTTGGGTCCGTTAGAAAGAGCTAGCCTCAATCACTCAATCAATCGTCCAATGTTTGAGGCTAGCTCTTTCTAACGGACCCAACAGGATAGGTGTTTTCATTCACCTGAGGACGGAAACAGATCCGGTTTCCGAAACGTCGTGTTTTTATTAGTTATCTTAAAAACCAGGACGATGGATAAGTCCAAAATCCCAATATAACAATAAGAATTAGAATATACAAAATTAAAATATTTCCTGTGGTTCTGCTGTCACAGCTGGCCAAAAATTTGTATATTGTCTTCGAATTTGAGGCCCTACAAGATCCACAAAAAAAAAAACAACTTTCAATGCTCATTCTGTAAAATGATTTGAACAATTCTGGATCCCGATTAAATCCTTTCAAAACAATGTAAGCACCTGGGTATAAATTGTCGCGAAATAACTTATGCACCCAATGTTTCCTTTCATCCTGCCTTCTCTTACGCCGTCTCAACCATCACATCATTACAGGTACAACATTATTATCTGACATTGCAGAAGAGAATTGCACGAACTTGGCGGGTAAACATACTCATTTGAGAAGTTTGAGAAGATGTGAGCAACTAATCGTACGTAAGTTTCCTCAGCGTGCACCCGCTTGAATTCGACGATTTCTCTCGGAAATCACGGTTGCGTTGCGGTTGCAGTTTCTTTGGTGATCGCCCGGCTTTAGTATTCCGTGAATTAGGAGTGCGTAGTTTGTCTTATTCGATTGTCTTGGGTTGTGGGGCTAGTGGCGGTGTTTGGTAGGAAGAGATTGGAAAACGAGGTAGCGAAATGAAGCATGTAAGTTTGTATGACTTATTTGAATCTTCAGCGCAAAAGTATCCCACCAACCCAGCAGTTTGTTTTAAGACGGCTACATGCACAGCTGTTGCTTCATATAGAGATGTGTTGAGGGAATGTGAAAAAATTTATGAAACTCTGATAGAATTTGATGTGAAGTGTACGTTTGTTGGTGTTTGGGTGGATCAGGCTTTCTATTTGCCGACAGTGTTTCTTGGGTAAGAAGATTGCTGTTTATTTCATTTTCTAACAGTTTTTAATGTTTTCAACAATTTTTTTAAGAATGGAGGTTGATGTACAGTTACAGTGTCCGAACTACTGAACCACAGTCTTAGTGGCTTGTGTCACAGTTTTGTAGTTTCGTGAATTTAACACGTCAAACTGATTTGATCCCTTGTTAAGTGGGTCCCTTATCGCCACCGTATGGCGTGCCCCCAGTTGCCTGTTAGAAGGGACGGCCTTCAGATAGTGAAGGTAGCAGTGAATGTACTGAGTAGGCAGTCACGTACAGCCGACAGTGGGTGGCCCTCCAGCTACTTTATTGACTTTGGGGTTAAGAACTCGTCACCAGAAAAGTTTGTTATAAAATGTTACACGTGGCCTTGGACTTGATTTGTCTGGCCCAAGATAGATAAATTCAAATTAAATTCTGATGTCTATAACATGAATACTAGACAAAAATATAACTTCCACCTACCCTCATCAACTTTATCAGTATATCAAAAAGGAGTCTACTTTACTGGCATGAAAGTGTTCAACAATCTTCCACAAAGTATTAAAAACGTGGGCAATGATACTAAAAAGTTTAAATCGAGTTAAAGAATTATCTACATGCTCATTCCTTTTACTCTTTAGATGAATACTTCAGTGTAAATAGAGAATGATGTAAAATTAAGTTATATTAATTTTTAAGCTAAAATTGCCTGTACTTATGTATGTAACCTTTTGACTTGTTCTGTATCCAAAGGTACTAACCTGCTTAGGATTTATAGAATGTAAATAAATTCAATTCAATTCAAAGAAACCAGTGGCAGGCTTTTGTGAACATGGTAATGAACCTTTGGGTTCTGTAAAGGGCTGCAAATTTGTTGTGTGGCTGAGTGGTTGTTAGTTTCTCAAGAAGGACTCTGCTCCATGGAGTTAGTTACCGATGATTTAATAGTAATTATTGTGTGGTGTTTATAGGATACATACATTCCTTTGTTATTTACATGTACCTTCACCTTGAGGATTTCGTTAACTAGGAAGACACATTTGTAAAGACATCCACTTATGGAACTGAAAATGTTACAAAAAAGCACTGCAGTAGTTTCTTACTCTAAAACATGCTTAGTAGGCATATTTTTGATTAGCTGATGCTCAGTTGGAGGTTAGCGTGCGGCTATAATTTCCATTCATCCAACAGAATCATTTATGTACATTAAATGTAACATAAGTTACAAAAAGCTTCAAATTCATGTAGAATTGTAGAAATGGGTATTTGTCTTCACCATGTTAGAGTACTTGTGTGCCATAAAAGAATATGTACCTAAATATCGTATGTAACGCAAGCAGAAACAGTGATAATATATGATTAATTTTGGCACACTTAGAGCAGTATTTTATTATTTACAGTTTTATTTTTCTATGCATAAATTTGTACATAGTGCACCATGTTAAAGATAATGTTTGAATGGACCAGACAACCAATGAGTGTGGATGTGTATGATTTTATTTTCTTGTAATAAAATTAGCATCATATGATGAGTCTGTATTAATGGAACCCTTACTGTCACTCCGTAGGATCCTCCGTAATGGTTCAGCATTCACATATTTGAATCTAGAGAATCGAGATAGAAATCTAAGTATAGTGAAAGACATGAATATTCGTTGGATTTTTTCTGAATCACATGTTCAGCATCATCACTGGACATTACGCAAAGAAATATCAGTTCATGGATGTACCATAGCACTTTGGGAAAGTGATATTATACAAACATCATGTACTGAAGCTATGCACAGCCCATATGAGTGGAAAATGGCTTACACTATCCAGACTTCAGGCACAACTGGATACCCCAAGATAGTTAGAGTACCTCATAGATGCATTGTGCCCAACATCCAGAGCCTCCAGTAAGTAAATAATGGCATTGTAAAGCAAATACATAGTTTAGGCAAGGCGAGTTGCATGCAGCATGAATTTTCAAGCAGTTCATTGTATAACTGAATATAGGAAAATAACAGTTTATGCATCTACAGAGCATTTGTGTACCAGCTTTCAGTATAATTTTCTTCAAATTGCAGCGTTTGTCTTGAGAGGTGATTGTAAATACCATTTTCATGAAACATTTTTTATAATTGTTAATTTGCTTGATAATTGACCTGAACTAAAGTTTTATTATTCTGTACATACTGTACTATGTAGTTAGCCTGGTGATTTGACTGTACAGCCCTTACCCTTTTTTTTATTGCTAGTGGGTTGGGACTAAGGCCCTTGTACTGCGGCCACTTCTGGCCTATTGTACCAGCCCCAGATGATAGGTGAGGGTGATTGTGGAGCATTTGGTGGAATGAAGATTGGCAGGGGGAACCGAAGTACTCAGAGGAAACATGCCCCCAGTGCCACTTTCTCCACCACAAATCCCACTTGACCAGACCTGGGATCGAACCCGGGCCACCGCGGTGGGAAGCCAGCGACTAACCACTTGAGGTATGGTGTGGCCCAGCCCCTACCCTTAGTCAGATTTAACTATATTATGTTGGTCCTTATGGTTGTTACAGTGACTGATTATACAGGGTGGAGCAAAGGAAACACATGTTTTTCACATAAGAATAACTTTGTTGATTTTTAAGATAAAACCTTTTTAATTACACAAAAAAGAAGGTATTTTAATGCATTTTTAACTTACACTATGTACGGAAAATAATGTCAGTGAGATTATGTCTTTGCTGGACACACATTTGGAGCCTCTCCTCAAAATTCTGCATCGCTTTCTCCAACATGTCTTCCTGAATAGCTGTGATTTCTTGATGAATGGAGAATTACAGCTATTGGATTGTTACTGATCTGTTCGTGTACACTCTTGCCTTGAGGTAAAAGTTAAAAAAGTAAAGCTATACCTGTACCAGGCCATGAAGGCCCATAGCGTTGTGAGGTGTTGAGGGGCCCACATTATCTAGACCAAGGGTCTCCAAACTACGGCCCGCGGGCCACATCCAGCCTGCAAAAGAATTGTGCAGAAATGCGCCAATTGAACTACTAATTTTCCAATGAGTACAGGTAAATGTGATTCCGAGCTTAGTGACCTGACATATACTGCAGTTCGATGGCTTAGCTGTGGAAAGGTTCTTTCTCACTTCTTTCAGCTCAGAAATGAAATTGATATATTTTTTACCAAGAAAAACCATCATGAACCACTTTTATCAGATACCGAGTGGCTTTGGAAATTAGCATTTTTTGCTGATCTGGTGAACCATATGAACCATTTGAATTTAAAGTTGCAGGGTGAAAATAACTTAGTCTGTGATTTATTTGCACTTATCAAGGCATTCAGAGCAAAGTTGATACTTCTGGAAAGCCAAGTGAAAAATTGTAACTTTGTTGATATGCTATACTGTGCAGAGTTGCATAAAAAAAGGTGAAGCAGAATTTCCTTCCTCGTTTGCAAATTTAGTCATTTCAGATTTGAAAGAACAATTTTGGAAGCAGTTTGCTGATGTGGATTCCAGCGCTCAGTTGTTTCAAAATCCGTTTGACTGTGATGCTGCAGATGTCCCAAGTCAAATTCAAATGGAAATTATTGAACTTCAGGAAAATTATCATTAAAGACAAATACAAGGAAGGAAATTTGATCGAATTTTATAAATTTCTGAACTCTGAGCAATTTCCAAATTTAAAGAAATTTGCTTGTAAATTTATCTCCATTTTTGGACGACAGATCTATGTGAACAAACTTTTTACCAGATGAAGTACATCAAGTCGAAATACAGAGCAAATTTATCTGATGAACATTTAAAGTCGCTACTTGTGATAGCGTTTAAAAATCTGAACCTCAATTTAATCAGATTTTAAGAATGCAAAGAGTTCCATCATTCACATTAATTGTTTTATTATAATTTGTGATGAAAATATGAGCATTTGCTGCTGCTGTCTGTTGTCATTAATATACAATAATTTATTCTCATGTACTTTGTATTTAGTTTATGAAATTCTGTGCTTTCAATAAAACTCATACCTGGAGTTATTAATTTCTCATTTTATCTGGCCCATTGAAAGTGCTGAATTACCTAATGTGGCCCGCGTTTCGAAAAGTTTGGAGATCCCTGATCTAGACAATTAGCTCAAAGATGGCGGTAAGCTTGTCAGCCTTATGTGCCAGCCGTGCTTTACTCCCCAGGAAAATTATTTAATTAATTCCTGGTACTCATTTCCACTAGAGGCTGAGTTGACCCCAGGGCCATAGTGCAGCTGGAAGGATTAGGTCAATTGAAAAAAATTCAGTGACCTCATTGGGACTTTAACCCATGACCTTCCAGTTTGTAGCATAGTGCCTCAGCCAAAAATAGTCACAAACCAATAGATCAGGAGATCGTTGGTCCTTACTTTTTTGAAGAATAAAGTGACAATTGATTGCAACTCAACAGCTCAGACTGGTGCATTGTACGCCTGAAGATGACCCGTGAAAGGGTCGAAACATGTTGCGTCTCTAATAAACATAATAAAAGCAAATGTTGATGCAGTAGTGTCTTCTTTGTTTTGAATACTGATTATTGTTATGTAGGCAGTATATTCTATACTTTATTTATTTATTTATTTATTATAGAGAGGTGTTAAAAAAGAAAGATCTGACAAAGAAGGGACCAGTATTTTTGTCATAGAAATGGTTGATTTGTGAATCCACATAATGAAAATATAAGTTTTGATGTTTTCATGGTTGTGACTGCATATTTTGGTAGTCTGACATGATGCTGTAGGTGAATACCAGTATTTTAGAGGAACATGCTGTCTCCAGCTGCAACCCGTTGGGCTGGACTAGTTTCTGCCTCCCCACCCCTTCATGTAGATTTGAGTGACCACCTTCCTTGGAGCTTTTCTGTATGAGCCAATAATATCATCAGCCTACCGTCTTCAGCCCTTAACATTGAGGCAGCATATTAGTCTGAAACATTGCTTTCACCTACAATACTATACAGTGTCACAGCCCAGAAGTATGTAGTTTTAGTTAATTGTAATGCCCCTCCCCCCAGTGAAATCTAAAATATGTTGCTGCAGGCAGTAATGCACTGTAGAAACTGAACCGTTTCATGATGTTATCTTTCAGGTCTGTTCTCTCTGTGAGATCAAGTGATGTGATATTTCTTGCTTCACCTTTCACATTTGACCCAAGCATTATAGAAATGTTTCTAGCTCTGTCTGCTGGAGCATTACTTCTTATAGTGACAAACGCTGTGAAGTCATCACCATGCCTCCTGCTAAAGGTATTGTTTTCTGAGGTTGAACACAGAGTAACGGTTCTTGAAGCGACTCCATCATTTGTTATGCGATGGTCTTTGGAAGAGATGCAAAGCACACTTCTGTGTGAGAGATCTTCGTTACGTGTTTTGGTGCTTGGAGGTGAGCCATGCCCTTCAGTACAGGTGCTGGAACAGTGGAAATCGAAACAAAACAAGACAGAGATTTTCAATGTATATGGCATTACTGAAGTTTCATGCTGGGCAACAGTGCATAAAGTAGTGATTCCAGATGTAGCCAAATCATTTGATCATAATGACTGTGGCACACATGCTCCAAGCCAGCAGGATCCTGTGCCATTAGGGAATGCATTGTCTCAGACATTGCTTGCTGTCAAGGATGAATCAGGTGAAGAAGTTTTTACTGGAGAAGGAGAATTGTATATAGGTGAGTACATGTTTGTTTGTTTATTCAGTTATCTTGCAGTTCTGTGTCAGCTGCTTAGATCCTCAGATTGAATGAGATGTGGTGAAGTAGTTACCAGTGACATCAGGAGGGGGGTGTGACTGTCTTCTCCATTTAAATATTTGTGTATTCTCAACTGTGCAGTCAATGAAGTATGCATTTGTGATGGGATTATTTGTAATGGATATGTTTTCTCATTATTGTGTCAGAGGCAGGAAGAAATTTACCCTCCAAAATTAGACATAACTTCTGCACACATCCTGATTTTTAAAGTACCATATATTAATCAAAAGAAGACATACCATCTATGTTATTACATTGAATGTGTGTTTCTTCTTCAGCATACACATTTTGAAGCACTCACTTCAGTGTAGTGTTGAGGTCAAGAATGGTGGAGCTATCCCTCTGCCTCCCTATACATCTTCATAGCATGGCACTTAATTAAGTAAGCACATGGACAGCTCTACTTTTTACCTTGAATATGTTTTAAAGCACCTTATTAAATAGATTTCTGGTAACTGTTATTAAACTTTCATGAAGAATGTAATAAAAATGGATGCATTTTGCTACTACATTCAGTGGAGACTTGGGATATCATTAAGTATGTAGTGCAGGGTCTCTTTGGAAAGTTGGTAGTTACTTAGCAAATCCTTGCTTTTATGGAATTTTGAAGTTCATTACCATTTGCATACAATTCTGCCATTGGACCTCATCTGGAGCAGAGTGTATTCTTTACACTTTATTTCTTTAAGACTTATGTAATATGACAGTGACATATTGTCCCATGCCATGAAGGTTTGTGTGAGAACGGAGGTATAGTTTCGTGCATTCTTAAACTCAACAGTAGATGGATGTGAGTGGTCAGCATCACTCTCTGACCACATTACCCCTGGGGCTAGCTCTCCTGGTACCTAGTTGATACAAGGCTCCATGGGTTGCAGAGCCAGTCTTCACTCTGTAGAGAAGAGAGAAATCTCTTGTGTCTGTTGGGAATTTAACCCAGAATTTTTTGTCATGCAGCTCAAAGCCTAGTCATTATACTGACTGAGCTAAAAGAGTGGAAGGCATTACTAGCTTATGGCCCATGTATTATTGTCCTCTCTTCTGCGCTTAGGTCTCCCAACTGTTGTCTCATTCCATGGCATTTCCGTGCCAAATTATTGAACTCACATCTAATTTCGTCCATGGGTGCCAATGCAGAAAGGTGTATAACTTTAGTTTGGAATATTTTTTGGCAATGGGTTATGTAGAATATGACAAAGATAAATAATTTCCAGCTCCTTAGTGTGTAGGGCAGTTAGCAGTTCAATGATAGATTTATTTCTGCAGTAAATGAACATAAGAGCTCATGAGGTATGAAAAATAGCAAAGAACACAATTGGAAAATATTTTTACTCCATTGGATTTTGTCTTGGCTTTACAAGAAGTATTACAGTAACCTGTTATTCAAAGATTGTGAATTACAGGTATCGGAAAAAGTTGATTCACTAATCTGTTATTTCTTTTTAAGGTAGCATGGATAGGGTTTGTCTTGTTGACAGTGAAACTGTTCAGAACTTGCAGTTTCCTGTTTACAGAGCAACTGGTGATATTGTGAAAGTAAGTATACAGGCCTTGTGCCTCATACCTTACTTCAGAAAATTATATATATGTATATTGCCTGTACTTCAGCAGATTATACAGTCAACTCTCGATTATCCGGTGGCGGATTAACTGGTTTGCGGCTTAACCGGGGCTACTGAGGCTTTTTTGAGGCTTATGTGTTGTTTAATATTCATTCACTTTTGTTTCACATGGCGAGTTGTAACACTATTTTCGCACTAGTGTGAACCGAGCTCTGCATTCTTTGGTCCCGTTTTGCTTAACCAATGTTCTAGGTTAGGGATGAAAGAATGCAAGGATTTGTGGAAAGTTTCAAGGAGAGATACATCGCCCCAATTAGTATCTTTGTATCGATCTTCAAGTGCGTTAGCAAAATATCAGGGTGTAAAAGGAAGTGTGTTGTGTTAAGTATTCAACAGAAAAAGGAAAATGCTGCAAAAAAGTAAATGACAATATTAATTTTTTTTAAGTGTTAAGTGTGAATATTCGTAAAAAAATCTTGGCTGTTGTTGAAGACTGTGATTGAAATAACTAATTCATATTTCAGTGTAATGTAAAAAAAGTATTAAATAGGCCATGAGATGACATAAAAATGAGGTTGAATAAATTTAAATACAGGTAGGCCTATAGTATTATGAAGGTACAGTATTACAGTACTACTTTTAATAAAATTTGTATTAACCGGGTTTTCGATTAATCGTGATTTCCATCCCCACCATTATCCTGGATAATCGAGAGTTGACTATATATTGAATATTATTGTTACTGAACTCTTACCTTCCACATAGAGTTCAGAGATGCCAGACATACTTTGAAATCCCGTGATGATTGCCTTAATGTCATTTGAAAATTATGATTTTTGTGTTGTGATGCCATGTAGTTTTGGTGGGTAGGTACCAGTGTTTCAGAGGAACATTAGTACCTTTATACCAAACTAAGCTGTGTAACATGCCAGGAAACAGTAATTTTTATAGCTACTACTATGAGAACGTCAAATCTCAAACATTAATGTCTTTTGTTTTCATCGCTTATTAATTTCCAGTAATTTAATGATGCAGAGGTTGGCTGCTTCAGATTACCAGAACATAATATTGACATTTCCATTAATGTTATTATTATTAATTTATGGTTTATTTAACAATGCTGTTGGTAAATCATATTGTCTAGCATCAAATAGTGGGGTGATCAGTAAATGAACTGAAAAAGATATGGAAGGAAGCAGTCTTTGTCTTTTTCATGGTACAATCCCAGCATTCACTTGGAGGGACAGACAGCTAGGACAGTTTGTGTTCAAGCTGAATTTCAAACTGGACACCTCTTAAATACAAATCAGAAGTTGTTACTGTCAGAGCCATCTTACTTGGTCATTAGTGCTATTTATTATACACAGACGTTTATAATATCTGTTTTGCTGTTTGCACCACATTGGTATATTGAATGCTGAAAACATATCACATGCAAATCATTTTCACAGAACAGACAAGTGCAAACTGCTATAAATATACTGACTCGTTATTAAGTTATTTTATTTGTACTCCTCACAAAATTTTATTAGAGTAATCAAATTGTAGACAGTGAAGTGGACAGGGAACAGCCTCTATGTGGGCAGTGAGCAGTTCATGCCCAATTTTAGTTGGAAAACATGAAGGAAAACTGAGTTTGTAGCTGTGGAAGGTTAATATTAAAATGGAGAGTAAGTAGGAAGTAAGGATGTGAAACAGATTCATTTGAACAAGGGCCAGTCATAGGCTGTTTTGCGGACTCTCAATCTTATTGAAAGCAGGGAATCTTTAGCTAGCTGAGTGACTATCAGTTTCTTAAGAAGGACTCTGGTCTGTGAAGATAGTTATTTTATTATATTACAGTGCTGAGACTGTATGTAATGGATACATGAATGTGATTTTGAATTGTGAATCAGAAGACTGTGTGTGGGAATGGTTGTGTCATTTTTTATTTGAAGTATTAACCCAGTAGCTGATCAAGTGGCTGTGCAGTCTAAGGCATGAAGAGTCTTCACCCACTTCAACATGGGTTGAGGATTCAAATCTCACTTGAGGCATAGGTACCTGTCTGCGTGTATTCTGTGTTTAGGTAGAGGCCTTGTGATGGGCTGATCCCTCATCCAAGGAGTCCTACAGACTGTGTATAGGATTAAGAAACTGAAAAGTGCGCAAGGCCCAACAAATGGCTGTAGAACATAAATAGATGGACGGACGGATTAACCCAGTAGATTACTTGAATAATTGGAGCTAAACAAAAAGTACATCCTAATAGTCAGTTCCTGGCCAAATATGTGTAAGTCAGGCATGTAACCTCTGTGCTAATTGCTTTATATTCAGAATATGAACATGACCCAAGCCCAGTAGTACAGATCTTGTAATGTTTTGGGTATAACATTTGTTTTAATGTGTCATAAGTGTGAGAGCATTATTATGCTAAATTTTAATTGCCTTGGTACTGAATGTTGTAGATTGATGGTAGCAGCAGGATGATGATCTATCTTGGACGTAAGGACAATATTATAAAGCGGTTTGGTCATAAAGTGAGCTTGAATCATGTAGAGCGAGTTGTAGCAACTAACAGATGCATAGAACAAAGTTGCTGTGTGTGGGAACCACATATTAAGAAACTTGGATTATTTGTGAAGGTGGAGCAAAACAAAAGAGATGACAAGCAGTTTCTCAGGGCATTGAAGTTTTATTTAGTGAAACATCTGCAACCATCATCCATTCCTGATGTGATAATGGAGCTGAAATCTTTTCCACTTTCTTGTCATGGTGAGTTACATATGTATAAGTTAATCATCAAAAAGGGTATACCCACTGTATTTATCCAAATCATATATCATCATCATCAGTAATCTGTCAGATGACAGGTCCACAGTCTCTTCCAAAACAATTCCTGCACTTAATGTGATCTAGAGCTTTCTCCTTCAAATGACAGTACCCTCTTCTGTCCCCAAGGTCATCCAGCATCCTCTTATGTCTTCTTCCTCGTCTTCTTGTCACTTCTATCCGCCCCTCTATCTTTCCTTCGATAGCTTCTTTTAGAAGGCAGTTTCTGCGTAAAACATGACCAATCCAATTAGCCTTCCGTTTTCTTATTTCATGTAGGATATTCCTCTGCTCACTGACTCTAATTAACACTTCTTCATTTCTCACATAATCGGTCCAACTGATCTTCTCCATTCTTCTCCAACACCACATTTCGAAACTTTCCAGATGTTTCTGATCTACTGCCCTAAGTGTCCATGTTTCAGCCCCATACAGAGCTATGCTCCAAATGTAGCATTTCACTAGTTTCTTCCTCAAATTTAAGTCCAATTTGCTGGTAAAAAGATTCTTCTTCTTGCTAAATGCAGCTTTTGCCATGGCAATCCTGGATTTAATTTCACAAGTACACCTTCCATCATCTGTTAACAAGCTACCCAAATATTTAAAACATTTCACATTCTCCACTTGTTTTTGGTCTATCTTTATTGTGACTGGGGTTGGTTGTCTCGAAATTTTCATTACTTTTGTTTTCTCCACATTCATTTCCATGCCATAGCACCTTCCAATTTCAATTAGTCTATCAATCATGCCCTGTAGCACAGTTTCTTCCTTAGCCATTAACACAAGGTCATCTGCATATTTCACAGTTTGAATAATTTGCCCTCCTACTTTGAAGTCACCGAGCCCATCCAGAGCTTCCTTGGTAAGGCATTCGCTGTACAAGTTGAACAGAATTGGTGATAAACAGCATCCTTGTCGAACTCCTCTTCCAATCTGCACACTTCCTGTCTCCCCCCTGTCCAGTCGTACTCTAACTTTCTGATCCATGTACAATTTGCTAATCAATCTTCTTTCATGCCAATCGATACCTGTTTCTTTCAGGATCTGCATTAATTTGGTCCAGTTTACCCGGTCAAATGCCTTCTGCCAGTCTATGAAGCAAACACACAGTTCTTCATCTATCTCCAAAGTTCGTTCCGCTATAATTCTCATCATCCCAATTGCATCCCTGGTTCCTTTTCCTCTTCTAAATCCAAACTGATCTTCTCCAAGTACATCCTCTATTTTCCTTTCAATTCTTCTTTTAAGTATCTTTGCTATTATCTTTGCTGTATGTGCAATAAGGCTTATTGTGCGATGGTCGCTGCATTTTGTAGCTTTTGTCTTTTTCTTTAAGGCAATCATTGTAACTTCTGTAAAGTCCTTGGGCCACTCTCCACTTTCATATATGGTGTTCATTAGTTTTGTCAGTGTTTTCAAACCACCTTCTCCCAGTAACTTGAGCACATCTCCAGGTACATCATCATCTCCTGTAGCCTTTCCCTTCCTCATTTCCTTGATAGCTTTTTCCACCTCACTTTGTAAAATATATGGTCCTTTCTCGTCTGTATCTACTTCTTCTTCCGGTTCAACTTCTAAGGTTTCTGGCCGATTAGGTCGATCATATAGTTCTGTAATATAATTTTCCCAAATTTTCTGCACTTGCCTCTGATCTACTATTCTATTCCCCTGGGAGTCTTCGATGCCAATATTTTGAATCCCATGATTCTCTTTCCATCCTAGTTCTTTTGTCTTCATGTACATCAAATCATAACGTCCTGTTCTTTGAAATTCTATAATCTCATTACATATCTTCTCAAGATATTCCTTTTTGGCCCTGTCTGTGGCTCTTTTCAATTCATTCCTCAGTCTCCTGTATTTCCTCCTGCCTTCTTCATTGTTTACATTCTTCCATTTCCTTCGCTCCTCCATTTTACTCATCATCTCCTGTGTAACCCATTGTTTTCTTGCTATCTTCTCAACTTTACCAACCAAATCACCGATAGTATCTAACATGCATTCTTTTATATTGTTCCACTGCACTTCAGCATTTCTGCTTTCACCTTCAATTGCACCGAGTGTCTCTTCTAGGGTCTCCTGCATGCCAGAATTTATTTCTTATTTCAGTACTGCAGCCAATGTGTTTCTACTTTATTCTGTAGTTTGATGTGAAGTGTTATAAATCTCGTCTGGGAAACTGACTTTCCTGACCAAGATTTATTGTAGTTTTCCTCAGTCAAGGCAGGTATTGAGTTAGTAATGTAAATTATGCCACATCCACTTAGGCATTCACATACTTTCCTGTTCATTATTAACTGTTGTCCAGTCACTTGATGCTTCATAATAAGTGTTACTGACAGCATTGTTAAATAATCTAATTACGAAATAAAGCTGTATTAAAACTTTGTGATGTGTTTGGTAGGTTCTGATTCCTTTTATATGATACTGGAGTAATTAATGAGGGTAGATATTTTGAGTAAGATACCGTAGGATTAATGAAATGGAAGGGATGTGTAAGGAAGAGCTCTGTTAACCCATTCTGACAGTTCTAAGTTTTTTTAGTACTGTGGTTGTAGTACTTGTACTTGGACCTGGTCTGGCCTGACAGTACAAGTGAACCAAGTGGCTACCTGGGTCTGTACAGTTTTAGGTGCAATACATTATAAAAACTTCTTGAAATTAAATTTAATTTCTATTGATCTCTTGTTCATATATTGACCATTAATTGTCAGCAGTTGAAACATGCCATGCAACAGTGTAAGCAAAGCTGTTTTGAGAATTATGACACCAGTGATGGGTTTTGTCGCTGTGTGTGGAAATTCCTTGTTATTAATTGTGGCAAAATTTTTTAGAAGACTTCTAGCTGGGGGGGGATTTCTTATAGCACAAGGCAGCATTTAGGCTTTTGTCAGACCTAACTTTGTCACTAGACCAGAGAAGATTAGGAAGATTTTCATACTTATTAATGGTTATTAATTTTGCTCAGAATGTTCCCTTTCTTTATCTTTCCATTCATTGGTGCATTGTATTTTCTTTCTGCAGGAAAGCTAGACCATTGTGAGTTAAAGTGTTTATTACGAGACAAAGTTCAGGAAGATGTGATAGAACTGAACAAACTGGGAGATATTTATCAAGTGTTTGCATCACTGTGGTCACATTATCTCTGCATGGAGTCACATCCAAATCCACAGGATAACTTTTTACAAGCTGGAGGAAATTCAATTCAAGCATTGCAGCTTGTGTCAGAACTGGAGGAAGTGTTTGGTTCATCTGCACATACCAGCCTTATTGGATCACTTCTAGGGGGCTCAACATATGAAGAATGTTGTTCGTGTTTAAGCTCTTCATGTGAGAGGAAATTAGAGAATATCTCTATAGATGCATCAAAACAGCTTATCCAAAAATACAAATGCAGAAAGAGGTTAACTAGCTCACAGGAAGGTGATGCTGTGAAATATTTAAGGGTTGAACAGGCTGGAATTAGCAGTGTGGACAGTACAGAGGTACAGAAAGTGGACTGTGATAAAAATATTCATACCTCAAGTTGTCGCGGTAGAACTGAAGGATTTGGGGTCTGGACAGAACCTTGTGTCTTTTCTTCACTTAATGACATTAAACTTAGAGTGAGATGGAAGTACAACCTGGAAAAATGTGTTGATGCTTCCCCATGTTTCATTAAGTACAAAAGGTAAGATTCTTTGTGCAGGTTTAATGTGACTGGTACACATTGTGTCTTAGTGGCACCATGCAGACCACCTGTGTGCAGTATCATGTATTTTCAAGGTTAGTGTAAAGGAGAGAAAATATGAACAGTACTACTAATGAGATGTAGGAATAAGGTTTCTTCATTTCATTACACACAATTCTTCCTGCCATATGATGCTACATAGTCTAGATTCTGACAGCATTATGAAATAAACCTCATGAAAGACATTTTTTATGTAGACTCATGGATGGAACTGGAAGTACAAATAATAAACCAGAGGTTGAGGGAAGAATATATAACTTCTGCTTTCCGTCAAATTTTTCATTATGTATTGTAAGGGTAGGAGGGATTGTAAATGAATACTTGTGTTCAGTTATCCATTTCTTTGTATAATTTTTATTACTACAGATTCCTGGTATAGTAAAATTGTTAGGTGTAATTTGAATGCTTCATGTTTTTGTCACATTTGTGTTAGACAAGTGGTTCATCCATGTTCTGTCTCCCTGCAAAATTTCACTTACCCAATTCGATCACCATGAACTGCATTGCTAAAAATAGTTTCTGCATAGCTGCCATTTTATTTGCATTATCTCTCCATGCAGTGAAATCATGGCGATTCTGCATGACATGACAGCACAGTGTGCTGGTAGGACTAATTATGCTGATAGATGAATCTGCCAGTAATAGTCTCTCTGTTGTTAGCTGTCATCATTTTCATGAATGTTTATTCAGAAGAGCTTGAAACACGTATGTTTCTTAAGTATTGGATGTTAGATGTTATAACTCAATTGCCGGTTTCAGCAACCCATAGTAAAGGAACTGACACAAGTTGTGTGTTTGTTAAAGTATAACACCAAGTTTTAGAACTTTATTAAGTGGGAATACTGGCATGACTGTAGTGTTGATGTTATTGAAGGTAGGAGATTTAAAATTACAAAGGTGGTGTAGTCCCTAATTAAATGTTGTATACCAAATTTAACTGAAATTTGTCACTCTGTTCCAAAGTTATTGGGGAAAGCACACATGGATGTGATGTACAGTAATCCTATCTTTCCAAATAAAATGGGAAAAGTAGGGTAGCAGGATATGAATAATCTGAAATTATAGACTAAAGATAAATAAAATGTTGGACCAAGTGGTGACACTTTTGTGGGTTACCTGGTTTCACTCTTGGCTAGAACATGAACTGTCATAACTGAGATATTTGTGGCTTTCCTCAATCACTCCAGATAATTGCCAGGATAGTACCTTAATTAGGCCATGACCACTTCTCCATCCTTTCTAATTCAATATCAATTCTAGTTCATTCAGTTGTTTGACATGATTTGGTATGAGCTGCAGGCAGCATAATTAAATATGCTACAAAGCAAACAAGGATTCTAAAAAAGACAAATGTGGAGGGATCTTTTAGCACTGCATATTTTGGTTGTGTAAAGTAGGGAACATGCACTTTCATTAATAATTATTTATAATTAAGATTATTCATATTTATTTTGAAATTATCAATAGTAAAGTTTTATGTTGAAAGCACTTGCCATATTCTAGTTTTCTCTGTGATTCCTCTCCATTCATCCAAGCAAATCTAAGGACAGCACTAGAATAACTGAGCATTGTGGCATAACTAACTAATAAAGAACTAAGCATCACCTTTCTGCTATACTTTATATGCATTCCATCTGTTGCAGTGGCGATGAGAGAGTGCTTATTGGTTCCCATTCACATTTATTTGTCATCATCCACAGCAGAACAGCTGAGTTGATTGCAGAGTGCAAGTTGATGGATCGGATAGAGTCATCTGTTTGTGTCTCACCTTGTGGCAGGTTTGGCGTTGTAGGTTAGTAATTTACTTTGGCACTAACTTCGCCAACAAGAGGCGGCTGCTCAGTTGGTATAGTTTGCTTGTGGACTAAAACCATGGAGTTTGTTTTGTGTGTTTTTGTGGTCCTCATTCTCCTTATGGTCTGTGTGATGTGCTGACGTTCCACATCTCTAACATGGTAAGAGCAGAAAAGAAAAAGAACAAACTGTTAATATTGTCTTTAACATGGTACTTCAAAATTAAATGCATGAGAATTCTGTATTCTATTCAGTGAATCAGAGACAAAAAATATAAAGCATAACAGATGGTTTTATTATGGAATACATTCGAGAACAGGACTGATGTTTTAAGAATTTTATGTAGGATAATGCTATTGTTCAGTTTTTTGTTCATTACATTATAAAACAGCTGAATGTAGAGGAAACTTAAAATAAGCACAGTAAATCATTTTTCATGTCTTGTGGAATGAAAATTTGGACATGAAATGCCCAGGCACATTCATGCTGAACAAAATATAAATATGACATAATATGGGAATGGAAACCACATTTTTCTGACAAGAGGTCACTGAACTTGGGATGGGGATTGCAGAAAAAATGGCATAAGTGGAAAGTAGGTGGAAAGTGAAGAGAATAGCTCTTCCTTGTGTTCAGTGGGCCTTAGGTTCTGACATATAAGCTCTAAAACTTTTTGCTTTGTTACAGCTAGGGTGTGTGGGCACAGGGTAGTGTAGTTGGTTGAGGCACCGTGCTACAAGCCGGAAGGTCGCGGGATCGAATCCCCATGAGGTCATTTGATTTTTTTCAATTTACCTAATCCTTCCAGTTGCACTGTGGCCCTGGGATCGACTCAGCCTCTAACAGAAATGAATACCAGGAATATTATTGGAATGTTCTTGGGGGGTAAAGGGAGGCCGGCGCATAGGGCTGACAACCTTACCGCCATCTATGAGTCGATTGTCTAGAAAATGTCAATGAACAGACCATGATGCAATTTGTTAGAATTTTTCTTCTGTGCTAGTATGTCCATATTAAGGACAGTGTTCATACTGATTACTACACATACACTATTACTTATATACTAATATTTGTAATTGTTCTTTATGATGTACAGTCTTCATAATCTTTAATTCTGCATCAGTAATGATGTCTGTACAGCCTTTTGGAGCAGAAGAAACACATTAATTGTTAAAATGTCATAGTAATATATCTTTGACAAATCTTCAGTAGTTTATGAGAAATTGTTTAAGAAAATGAAAGATAATACTGTACTATTAAATATTATGATCAAACGGTTAGCACTCCTCTCATGTGTGTGGGACACAATGAGTTGGAATCTCAGCTTGGTCGCCGGCTGTCCTGAGGTTTTTGTAGTATTCTTCAGTCTACAGAAAAATGCTGGTAGTTTATGGAACTGAAAAAATCATTAGGTACCCATGAATTAGTGAAACAGCAGGCAGCACGGTTTCTACATGATGCATGTCGTTATGATGTTAACTGATGTTCATTGTGACTTGACAAGTGAAGCATATGAGATCTGAGGTTCTCATTGCAGTGGATATTGAGGTTATGATTTTCTGGGATGTGGCACCGTGTAGTCTTCTAGTTACCATGCTTAATCTTCAGGGTAGAATATGGAGGAAGCAATTCATTGAAAACATGACGCTTATCTGCCAGAGTACAGGTATCCTCTGAATTATATGAATTTTACTTAAACACAGTTTTATAGGCATTTTTTTTTAAGAATTACTTTAGTGAAAAATAATTAAATATAATTTCCAAAACAACTAAACTGAATTTTATTAAAGTTACTTCAGTTATTTACAGTGAAACCAAGGGAATAACAATAATTTCAAGTTGTGCTTTTTTTTTTTAGATGAGTTATGCAACCACTGTTGGGAACATCATATAAGCTGGAGAATACCTATGCATAGCATGATATCCCACAAGACTGTGATCTTAAGTTACATATGTGTGGTGACTATTACTATTAGTGCTGTTAAAGGATATGAAGTGCAGTAATTCCAAATTAAAAAATTCATAATGTCTGTGGTGAGTGCTTTCAGCATTTACTTTTAATGCTTTGTGCACAGTGGCACTGTATGTATCTGTATGTGTTTGTGACTGCAGGTAGCTATGATGGATGTGTGTACTGCATCAACTTACACACTGGTGAAATTAAATGGAGTTTCCATACAGGAGGCCTGGTGAAGAGTTCTCCAGCACTTTGCTTGAATGGTTCTGCAATTGTAGTTGGCTCATATGACCGGTTTCTATATTGCATTAGTATTTTGGTATGTTTGAATACTTTGAAGAAATCTTAGTAGATTAGTTATGTCTTGGTGGTTTTGGGTATGTGGGGGTGCGTACATGTGTGTGTGAGAGAGAGTTCTTTAAAAATCTCACAGTTTGGATTCCTTTGTGTTCAGAGGTAGCAAAATTTCCTTGCGACTTTCTTTGAATTTTATTAAATGTAGGATTATGTAAACGAGCTAAGTATTTAAGTGTTCAACCTTTGCTTTTTGAATGAATGTTTTCTCATTTTACCTGTTATAATTTGTTCTGCTGTTGTATCCATATATGTACTCAAGTTTAACAGATTTTCTATAATAATATGTTGCCTGCAGATTATGAGTAGTCAAATAGTTCATACAAATAACTGCAAGAAAATACTACTGATAGACATAACTGTCACCACTATAAAAAATGCTGCTGACCTCAAGACACTATTTTATACAAGCTATATATTACTGAATAGGAGCTGGGATAGCGTAGTCGGCATAGTGACTGGCTATGGGATGGACAACCAAGGGGTCAGAGTTTGAGTCCTGGTAGCATAAAGAATTTTCACTTCTCCAGTTGTCTAGACCAGCTCAGGGGTCCACCCAGTCTCCTATACAATGGATACTTGTGCACTTTCCTGGGTGTAAAGCAGCCGGGGCATGAAGCTGACCACTCACCTCCAACTGGTGCCAAGGTCAAGAAAATGTGGATCTTTGCATTCACTCCCCCATACATCCTCATGGCACAGTGCGTAATTAGTTAAGCACAGGGACAACTTTACCTTTATGTATTACTGAATATGCGACAGGCTGATCCACCATCCAAGGAGTTTTACCAACTGTGTACAGGATCAAGAAACTGAAAAAGTGACCAAGGCCCAACGAGGGGCTGTAGAGCCATGATGATGATGATTCAGTTCTTTATTATTTATGTGCTGAGCAAACAGCCACAAAGCCAATTACAGACACAGCACAGTGGAGATAAAAGTAGTACATACTGGACAAAGACAACATAAATTCAAAGACTAATTAAAGGTAAGGACTGGAGGAAAAACAGTAATTCAATTCAATTCAATTCATGTTTATTTATGTACAAACTTAACAGCACAGAGGCCAATTACAAAGCTAGCACGAATAGAGAAACACACAAAAATAATTAAAAAAAGCAAATTAAAAAATTATAGTCTATATTAATTACACAGTGAGCATGAATAAAGATACAGAAGCAAACATACACAGACAAAGCCACGATGTGAGAATTTGAGTTTCAAATAGAGCAGCATACAATAATAATAATAATAACAAAATTAATAAAAATAATGATAATAATAATAGTTTAATTAATTTAGTATAAGATATGTTTCATCAACAGAGTTTTTGGTCCAAAGACATCAACGTCCCTACAAACAACGTTAGCAGCAGAAGCACATCTAGCAGAGGGGCAATTTTTACTAACAGAACAGACATTGAACATAGGAAAGTCTCGGATATATTGAACAGGGACCTGAAGGCCAACAATTTCCAAAGCAGAAGGGCAAAGTATAGAACCATGATAAACTTGAATAAGGAAGAGTACATCAAGGGGATATCTCCTCTTATACAAGGTGTGCAATTTCAGTTGTTCTAAAGCAAAATCATAACAGTAATCTACTTGAGGAAAAAAACGTTTAAAACATAGAGCCATTAATTTCTGCTGAATGCATTCCAGTTTGTTTGCATCAGTTGACATAATGGAATTCCAAACTACTGAAGCGTATTCAACCTTGGATCTAACTAAAGTAAAGTATAATTTGAACATGCATCCAAGGGTTGAATAGTTAATGGTGATACTGCGAATTATACCTAGCATCTTAATACAATGTGAAAATATAAAATTAACATGCTCATGAAAATAAAGTTTAGAATCAATGTATATGCCCAGGTCTTTCACTGAATATGTTCGGGTTATAGTGAAATGAAAAAGTTTGTACTCTTATATCAAATAGTTAGTTTTCCTAGAGCACGTTATTACTTTGGTTTTATTAACATTGAGTTTCATATAGTTCGCTGCACACCAGCTATATATACAGTCAATGTCAGATTGCAGAAGATTACAATCTTCAGGAGAGCTAATAGCACGGTAAATTTTAGTGTCGTCTGCAGAGAGTAGGTACCTGGAGTGCTTAATTGACTCACACAAGTCGTTTATGTAGACATTGAAAAGCAGAGGCCCAAGAATAGATCCTTGTGGAACACCGGACAATACTTCAAAGGGCGATGAAATAGTTTCACCAATACTGACCCGCGATTGTCTGTTGGTTAGGTAACATGATGATGATGATGATGATAACAACAACAATTTACTGAATAGACAGGCCTAGAGGAATGTTACCTGTTATGTTTCAGAGGTACTTAGTTCAAATCTTGACTGTGTTATACATTAATATGTCTGAGAAATTTGATGGCTTGTGTCATTACAGGTATGTAGGAGGACAGTACATTGAAACAGGTCATGGGCAGTTTCTCCAGTCCTTTGTAATTCACTGTGCATAACTTATCTTTTATCTCCATCAGTGCTAAATAAATGTGGCAGTTGATGAAACATTACTAAGTAACCAACTATATACATCTATTCTTGGCAGTAAAGCAAACTGGGGATGTGCCATGCTGTAGTGATAAGAGACCTGCTTTATAAGGAGTTTCTAATTTCATGGAGCAGAATCCTTTTTAGAAGCAAGTAGTTACTCCACTAGTATGGAACCCAAAGGTTCATTACCATGTTCACAAGATCTGCCAGTAGTTGCTATCTGGAGCCAAAAGAATGCAATCCATACTGTCATGTGTATTAGTGCCTTATAACGCAGATTCTGGATTTGATGAATGGGTTTATTTACTCCTTATATACACCAATTATATATATATAAATAATATTATATATTATATATACCAATAATTACACATAATTATAGTGCTGCTGTTATTTCTACATTTTATAATTCACACACATACAATAGTCATCTCTTGGTAATGCAATTAAAACTCAGGAACTATAACAATCCCACTGAATCACACACCCCAAATACAGTGCGTACAATCAAGTGCGCGCCGCGGCTGCAATTTGCCGTGAGTCATACCACCGCAGAACGGATGTAACTCCTCCCCGCGACTGCAGTGCCGTTCCCCGATAGCGTGAGTGTAGTGGTGTCGCTGAGTCTCCGTCCATCAGTTGCTCTACATGCACACATTTATAAGAATACAGTAAAAAGATAACTTACCGTGGTTTATAACAGGTGCTGAAAGTGACCTCCTTCTGCTTGCAAACATGCCGCGCATCTCACAAATAAATTACGCGACACTCTCTGCAGTTCGTCGACGGTAATTGAATGAATTACGCGTGTAATTTCATTTTGAAGACTATCAATGCTGCGGGGATTATTTTTGTAGACTTTTTGCTTCAGGTTGCCCCAAAGATAATAATCAGAAATACTGAGATCTGGGGATCTGGGAGGCCACAGTCCTCTACTGACAATTCTGTCTTCAAACACTTCCTGTATTGCGACCATGGATGCATTAGCCGTATGTGCTGTAGCGTTGTCCTGCTGAAAATACCCGTATTGTCTTTCTTCGGCATTCAACTGATCGAAGAAGGGATTCAGTATGTCATTAATGTACCGATCAGAGTTCACGGTATCGTGGAAAAATATGGGGCCAATGATTCGCCGCGGGCTTACAGCACACCACACACCCACCTTTTCACTATGTAATGGCACTTGCTGTATAGCGTGAGGATTTTCATTGCTCCATATTCTTACGTTTTGTGCATTGACGTGGCCACCAACGTGGAACCACGCTTCATCAGTCATGAATAGAAGCTGAGGATCCACTATTCCATCGTGTACATTTTGCAGCAGCCAGTTGCAAAAACGAATTCTTGCTGCATGATCTGGTTCTTTCAGCTCATGCACAACTGTTACTTTATACGGGCGAAATTTGATTAACTTTGTGGCTGTGCGAGCAGATCCTAGCGAAACACCAGTTTCCTGTGCTAAGCGTCTTAACGATTTTCGAGGACTGATCTGTAATCTTGCCTGAATATCCTTAACCTTTTCTTCAGTCAGCACAGTTCTCTTCGATTGCTTCTTCTTGTCACTCACTGAACCTGTGGCCCGCCACTTTTTCAGAAGCCTGTTTACACACGACTTTGTGGGAACTGGCGAGTCAGGATATTTCTGACGAAACCTACGTGCGAATTTTCTGTAAATGTTTTTCCTTGCAATAGTTTCGACAATAAACACACGCTGTTTAATAGTGAACTTCATTTCCACCGTCTGTCGACAGCTGTAAACATTCCACTCCACTTCCACAGCAAGACAAAGACTGACTGTTTAATGCAACCTCGGGTTCCGATTATGCAACCATCGGCGTAGGAGCACTGCAGTCGCGGGGAGGAGTTGCATCCAATCTGCGGTGGTATGACTCACGGCAAATTGCAGCCGCGGCACGCACTTGATTGTACGCACTGTATTATACATAAAGTCTTCTCTTCACAGCTGCACTCTTGCAACTAACTCTTAGCTAGGGCCGCGCCATAACTCAAGCGGTTAGTCTCTGGCTTCCCACCGCAGTGGCCCGGGTCTGGTCAAGTGGGATTTGTGGTGAACAAAGTGGTGCTGGTCTCCGAGTACTTCAGTTTCCCCTGCCAATCTTCATTCCACCAAATTCTCCATCATCATAATCACCAGGGGCAGGTACAATAGGCAAATCAGTGGTCGTCATGCCGAGTGGACCAAGCTGGACTCCACCCCCCGCTAGCGAATACAAAAAGAAATCTTAGCTACACTGCACTAATCTATGCTATAACAGTTCTTTGTTATTTAGGCTCCTCACGGACAGCACAGAAAAGACAAGTCACATGATTCCTAGCCAGTGAGTTCATTGGTGCACTGTTGCCTAGCAACGAACTATAACATTTGTCCACTGACAAGGAAATGGTCTGATGCGACATGTCGAAACCTGCCCTGCTTTTTTTCACTGCAAGAGTACACACAACACAATCCACTGTCAAAATTTTAGCTGCTAATACACACTGCAAGTATTTTTTAAAAATTGCCGAATTTATTCATTTTTTCTGTATGCAGAAGTGCTTGTACCAGAGGTTTGTACAACCTCACCTAGCGCTCACAACAGCTGTGACGACAGCTCGAGCTTGACCTTGAGTAATAAGGATGAATGATCGTGCATCACTCTACTCAAGAATTTAATTTGTTATAATGGACATAATGCACATACGTACATCGTTTGTAATACTTCTTTACCCACAATGAAGCAGTTCATTGTTCATTCTTTATAATCATCACAAAAATGCGAAGTGTCTATGGCGTGATGAAAACAGACAATTTCTTTACACCAAGCACACCTAACAAATGAAAAGTTAATACATTTAGGCACTTCGCAGTGACTAACAGTTTTTTGTAGACAAAATTGGGATGGCGTAAGAAATGGTCCTGGCCGTTGTTCTGCATATCGTGCTGCGTACCCGGCATACTTTATCAAGTTCGTAAAACGTGGTGATGAAAACTGGTAATGACTGAAGTTTAAGGATACTGTTCCGTTGAAAGACCTGAAATGACACAGAGGTATCCGAAAGTATATTGTCCTACAATTTTCTGAAAAATGCTTTCCACTGTTTTAAAAAAATTCTTTATCAAGTGGTTGAATCACACTGGTTGTTCCTGGGGGAATTCTCATTATATCAACGGACTTTTGGTCATCCGCCTGAAAGACAGAGATGTCATTATGTCCAGGCCAAGAGTCCAACAAAAGCAATGAATTATTTTCTGCAATGGGTAAGAAGACAATTTGAATGAAATATTGAAAATTACTTTTTCCAGTTTTTCCAGAAATTGATATGTCAGTTATAAGATTTTTGCAAGTAAACAGCCCCTTTTTAATTTGTGGTCCCAATTTGCCTTGATGTTCCTGAAGACAAATATAAAGATGAGGCAATAGTAATCCACTCATACTTATCACTGGCATTACTGTATAGGAATGAGTCATAGCATTCATTGATTGCATTACTGACTGTCTGTTTCTCACTGCGAAATGATAACGTGTGTTTGGCGCACAGTTCTTTCTCGAAACTGACTGATCAGCATTATACACAGCACTTGCAGGAATAACAGCAAGCTTCATCTTCACATCAGCTACAAATTTCTCTATAGCATTCATGATTAATGGTATCTTCTGTACATGTTTTCTTGAAATAAATTTTGTAATCTTCCAACTCCCAATTCTGTATGATTTCTTAAATCTACTTAACCAGGTTGAAGAAGCCAGGAAGTCACTTATGTTCATCTCATTCGCGATCCAAAGAGCCCAGTCTCATAGATCTCGATGGGTAACGGTACACTGTCTCAGGTGCAGTTCTAAATCTTTCGAATAGTCGTTCTTTCAGACTTCTCTGAGTTTCATTTTGATGCATGTTTCTTTCTTCCATTTGTACCATTCACATTCCAATTTTACAGAACAGAATCGGTTTTGCACACTGGTTAACTTTAAGGCCTCTTTTATACTTGCATGCCACATGCCACATGCCAGGCGGGTGTATTAACATTGTTTAAATGGGACCCTTTCATACTTACCTGCTCGCGTCGAGCGGTCACTTTCACCCGCGCGGCATGCGGCTGAGGCGTGTCGGGACGGGCGTGCGGCCATCACCGCCTAGCGTGTCCCGCCACGCGGTTGGGACCAATACCTAACGGGAGTTTTTATACTTCATGCTACATGCCAAGCGGTTGGGTTCAGTTCAGTTCAGATTAGCTTGTAGTCTTGCAAAGTGCTAGCTTGGAGAATGGATGCAATTGATACAGAGGTGCTGATTAGTGAAGTGCAATCTAGACCTATGTTATGGAACCCAGGAAAGGAAGACTACAAAAACCGAGATCTGCGGAATAAAGCGTGGGAAGAGATTTGTAGCAATATCATCCCTACATTTGATGAAGCTGATGACAATCTAAAGAAAAAATTAGGTGAGTTCTTATTTTCTATTTGGTTTCTTGTTTATTTAATTTACAGGCAATTGCACTGATCTTGTTTTTGTTACATGACGAAATTACAAACCACAACACATAATACTCTTATAATTAATTCTTCATAGTTTAAATCATTGATTCCTGCCACGGCACACTACCAACACCCAAGAAGTACTGTGAAAAATTGTCCCTTATTGAAGCATTCGACTGACCACCTCCTCTGTTGCATAGCCCTTGTCTGAAATCTTCGAACCCCACCACTGTCAGTGTGTCTTCATAATCGAAACCGTCTCTGACTCTAATGAAGTTGTGCAGAACACAACAGGCTTTTACAATGTCCACAGCAAGATTTGTTTCAACGTTTAAAGGGCGATGGAAAATTCGCCATTTGTTGCTTAGAATCCCGAAAGTACACTCAACATATCTTCGAGCCCGGGTCAACCGATAGTTGAATACTCTCTTGTTGTGATTCAGATGTTTCCTGGAATAAGGTCTTAGCACATGTTCACTGAGAGAGAAAGCTTCATCTGCAACTAATACATGAGGCAGTATAGGGTTAACAGTTCCTGGTAGTGGCTTTGGTGGAGGGATGTCAAGCATTCCGTTAGTCATCTTACACCAAAATAAACTATTTTGAAATACAGTGGAATCACAATTTCTCCCATAAGCCCCTACGTCAATGAAAGTAAAACAGTAATTGGCGTCACAAATGGCCATCAGACAAACAGAAAAAAAATGTTTGTAGTTCATAAAAAGTGACCCACTGTGTTGTGGTCTCACTAAACGAACATGCTTCCCGTCAACTGCCCCCAGACAGTTGGGAAAGTTTGCTTTATTTTCAAAGACAAGGCTGATTTCTTTCCATCTCTCTAAAGATGGTTCAGTCATGCACTCGTTTCTCAGCACCAACCACAAAATCATACATACTTCACGCACTATTTTAGATATAGTTGTTATGCCTATTCTGTATGAGTAGTGAAGATCGGTGAATGTATTTCCACTTGCAAGATATCTGAAAATAAGATTTTTGAAAAAGTTAGTTGGTATGCACATAATTTGATTTAATTACGAGTATATACTTGCATCTACTCGTATACATTATTAATTTAAACTGTTTCTTTTCAGTTGAAAAAGTTCGTTCCAGATGGAAATCCTCAAGGGATTCCTACATGAAGGCGAAGGGAAAAGTTAAAGTTCTGAAATCTGGGTCAGCGCCATGCAAGGCAATTAGATACATATATTATGAACAAATGCAATTTCTAGACAAAATACAACAAAGGTCTACCATTTCTAACTTTGAACAAGCTGCAGAAGATGAGGATATTAGTGAAGTTTTTCATAATAGTGAAACTAACGAAGATGACATTCGTGATGACGATTCAGATGCTCAAGATGCAGCCAGAAGGAAGTTCACCGAATCTGTCAAGAATCGGGAGAAAAAGAAACAAAAACTGGACGATTTTGGTGAAAACCTTCTGGCTCTATTAAAAAGCAGCAAAGAAACAGAAGAAGACGCTGACCGGGCATTCTTGTTATCCCTGCTCCCACATGTCAGAGGGTTTGACGAAGATCAAAAACTGGATTTCCAAAGTGGGGTACTACAATTGATAACGAAAATAAAACGAGGAAATTATGCACCGCCCACTCCAATTGGTTCTCATGCCTCATATCCGCAATATCATTCATATAATCCAGATCCATCCCAAATCATTTACAGCCACAAACAACAATCTGATCCAGGTCCATCCATAAGAGAGAATGAACATTTTTGAAAGATAAAACTGCCTCTCGAGTAGTGCTCAGCTCCATGGAGTTAGTTAGTTAATTAGTTAGTTTAAACTTCTAAATATAATGTATTTGTTTATGTGATAATTAAAATAATGTTTCAATAATCTGACCTTGGAGGTTTTAATTGTACTTTCTATGTCTATATGAAACAGAAAATAAGCTTACCTCAGAGTTACACAAAGTCTCTCCATTGGACTAATGGGCATGGAGTGGGTCCTTGTAATACGAAAATGACTTTCAACTTTCCCAAATAATTCGTCGAATGTTTTGGGGCTCATCCTAAAATAATTGAAGAACTTTATTTCATCTTCTCGTAAGTCAGCGTACAGGGTTATGAAAGCTCCTTTCAAGTCTCTTTGGATGTTGAGAGGATGAACACTGAAACGCCTTTTCTTCTTTTCTTTTCTTGCCATCTTCTCATACAGGTATGCAGCAGCGACCGCTTTAGTTGCGAACCCTGCCATGGCACACGCTCGACTGACAAAACCATTTTATACTTAACCGCCGCACGCCTGACTTCAGGCATGTGGCATGTGGCATGCGGCATGCAAGTATAAAAGAGGCCTAAGCGTTTTTTTCCCGCCTTCATTTAATCGAAATTTCACAGCCTTTTGCTTGTCACTGAAAGCTATTTCAGTCTTTTGTTTCTTTTGGCTAGGAAGGTATTCTTGTTGCGTACTCTGATTGGCACAACTTTCTTCACTTGAATCGCAACTTCCTGAACCGTCAGAGTTATTTTCTATTTCTTCTAATGTATCCACAGTTTCCATCGAATGAATGTCCAAGAAATTACCAGCAAATCACACATGTACGTCTTAGGAGAATTCGATGATTTCGCTTTCATATCACTTTCTTCATACTTCATCTTTGCAAGACTGAGAATGTTAATAGGATTCCACATTATTGTAGAGGGCAGAACTCTAGAACCTGTGCAAAGATACAAATATTATTAGTAGGCCTATATGCTTATTGATACAGCTGTATGAACACTGTTAACACGTACCTCAAAATAAAATGGAAACTACGGTTGGATCTGGATAGTAAGTCACTTGCAAATTCTGTCAGAGTAACTATCAAAGGAGGCTGTGCCATAGTTCAAGCGGTTAGTCACTGGCTTCCCACCGCAGTGGCCCGGGTCTGGTCCAGTGGGATTTGTGGTGTACAAAGTGGCACTGGGGCAGGTTTTCTCCGAGTACTTCGGTTTCCTCTGCCAATCTTCATTTCACCAATTGCTGCACAATCACCCTCACCTATCATCTGGGGCTGGTACAGTAGGCCAGAAGTGGCCGCAGTAGAAGGGACTTAGTCCCACCCCACTAGCAAAAAGAATTATCAAAAGAAAAACTAAAGTGTACTTGTCAGATTACAATGGATTTGTGCTGTGTTATCTCTCTACCAATGCACTGGAAGCCTAGGTTGTGAGTCAGCCGTGCTGCATGTTGTCTACTGCTCTGCTAGGGGTGGACATTTCTCCAAGGGTCTGGCAGGCTACAGTATTGGCCATATTCAGAAATTTTTAAAAAATACTTGCAGTGCGTATTAGCAGCTAAAATTTTGACTGTGGATTTTGTTGTGTGTACTCTTGCAGTGAAGAAAAAATCAGGGCAGGTTTTGACATGTTGGATCAGACCATTCCCTTGTGAGACGCATCTTCCATTGTTGCACATTGAAATGTGTTTACCGAGCTGTTGCCAAGAATTGCTTTCAGCAAATCCATTACATACCATCACACCCTGTTTCTTCTTTGTTTATAGTAAATTACGTTTGGGGGGAAAGGGGGGCTGCGTTGAAAGATAGTTTCCCAAATTTGGTATTATTAGTTTAGTATACAAATAATATATTATTTATGTTCTCTGCAGGATGGTCACTTGATTTGGTCAGCAAAACTTGAAGCTGGCAGCATCTTTTCTTCTCCTTGTGTTGCCAAGGCTGTATATGCAGCCACATTGGATGGTACATGTTATTCTCTTGATGAGGACAGTGGCCACTTCCTCTGGACACGTAAACTTGAGAGTCCTGTGTTTTCGTCACCAGCGCTGATACAAGATGAAAGTGCAGTCCTCTTTGCTGAAGTTTCAGGAACAGTCCATTGCTTTTCAGTAACAGAAGGGAAAGAGGTATAACCTTTAAAAGTTTGTGTACAGTCGATCCTATATTTCAGTTTACTTACTTAAATTCTTTGCTTGAGTTAACAAGAAAGATAGACCTTGCACCATTTAGTTCCAAATTCCACTTTAATTTATCCTTTTATTGTTAGTGAAGAAAAATTGTTAGTTTGCATAACCAGAATTAATCCAATTTTCAGAAGGTGGACATTGGTGCCATTTTATATACCTCTATGTGTAAAGATGCATATAAAAGTTTTCCAGAAATGTATTGCTGCAGAACCTTATTGTGAGCCATATAAATCTTACCTACAGGGTGTTCAATAATCAAGGAAACCTGGCAACAGTGTCAAGCGAAAACAACATTTCTCACAGATTGATGCTGTAACTGCTGATAGCAGAATGAGTCTTTAGTGCTGAAAGACACACACATTCTCTCTAGCGTATAGCCGATGGAACATTTCTCCGTGACTGCTGTGCCCTTCCCAGTAAGTGAGGGTGCAGTAGTGTTGCTGATTCCCTCACATCAGTTTCTGTACACACACACATTTATAAGAATACTGTAAGAAGATAACACAAAGTTATCATTCTCTATAACAGGTGCTGAAAATGACCCCCCTCTGCTTTCAAACATGCCTCGCATCACGTAAATAAATCACGCGACACTTTCTGAAGTTTGTCCATGGTAATTGAACCAGTTATGTGTGTTATTTCATTCTGCAGAATTTCAGTGCTGTGAGGATTATTCTTGTAGACTTTTCCCTTTAGGTTTCTCCAAAGATAAAAATTGCAAAAACTGAGATCTGGGAGGTCACACTCCCCTGCTGATTATTCTTTCTTCAAACACTTCCCATATTGTGACCATGGTTGCATTACCCTTATGTGCTGTAGTGTTGTCTTGCTGAAAATACCCATATTGTCTTTCTTCCGCAGTCAGCTGATTGAAGAACGGATTCAGTATATCAGTAACATAGCGGTCAATGTTCATGGTTTCGTGGAAATATAAGGGGCATGTCCTTACAGCACACCACACCCCCACCTTTTCACTTTCTAATGGCACTTGCTGTATAGTGTGATGATTTTCATTGCTCCATATTCTTACATTTTGTGCATTGACATGGCCACTAACGTGAAACCACACCTCATCAGTCATGAACAGAAGCTGTGGATCCATGATTCCATCGTGCACATTTTGAAGCAGCCAGTTGCAAAAATGAATTTTTGCTGCATAATCTGGTTGTTTCAGCCCATGCACAACTGTTATTTTGTGAAATATGATTAATTTTGTGGGTGTGTAAGCAGATCCTAGTGAAATCCTGGTTTCCTGTGCCAAGCATCTTAACAGTTTTCGAGGACTGATCTATAGTTGTGTCTCAACTTCCTGAACCTTTTCTTCAGCCTGTACAATCCTCTTTGTCTGCTCCTTTATATCACATATTGAACCTGTGGCCCACCACTTTTTCACAAGCCTGGATACACACAACTTTGTGGGAACTGGCGAGTCAGGATATTTACGATGAAACTTACAGATACATTTTCTGTAAGTTTTTTCCTTGCAAAAGTTCCTACGATAAACATGCTGTTCAATATTGAACTTCATTTCAGTATAAATGTTGACCGCCTGCCGACACCTCTAACAGAGACTGACTGTATTAATGCAACTTACTGCAATGACAAGATCAGACCACCTGATGGCATGTGTTTATCAGTGCTAATGACTCATTTTGCTGTTGGCAGTTAAAGCAGCAATCTGTGAGCAGTCTGCTCAATGCTGTTGCCAGGTTTCCCCAATCATTGAACACATTGTATATCCATGCACACTTATTTCTTTGAAAGTAATTTTATTATCCTCCTATCTGTGGCAAGATCTGCCATGTATTCTCTTGTTAATTTTTTTTAAACTAAAGTTTTGTAGGGATTTCTCATCCCTCTTATGTATGATTGTCTTTATTTTCAATATTAAATAATTTTCTGTTTTTTCCAATGCAGCTGTGGAATTTTCAAGCAGATGGAAATATTTTCTCTTCATTTTGCATTCAGCCATCAATGACTGAGAGCAGCACGAACCTGATCCTGTTTGGGTGTCACGACAAAAAGCTATACTGCTTGGAAAGCTCAGAGAATACAGTTTCACTGAGGTGGACATGTGTACTAGATTCATCAATATTTTCGACACCATTTTTATTTCCTGTTGTGATATCTTCAGAAGATAAATATAGTGGAAACACATTAGAAACATTTAAGAGTGACAGACAGATAGTGAAATATTTAGTTGCAGCTGCGTCAACCAAAGGAATAGTGTATGTACTTGATTTGGATTTTGGTATAGTGGAGTGTTCCTATCAGCTGCCTGGTGAGGTGTTCTCATCTCCTGTGGTAAACAGAAACAATATATATGTTGGATGCAGGGACAATCATGTCTACTCCTTAGCTATGAGGGTAGCCTGAAAATATCCTCAAGGAAGCATTATCCTAGAAATATTATACTGTAGCATCATATTGTGGGTAAGACAATGTTTATTATTATTATTATTCATTTAACACAAATCTGCTATAAACACACCATCTGTTTGCATAGACTACATGTTTTGGCCTAGTGTGGCCATCATCAGTTACATAGAGCTTTTAGAATCACCGTTCTTTCCCTCTGCTATACTTCCCTGTATTTGACAGTATTTATGTTAGGAGTGTGTTGTACAGGTATATTGTGTATGTAATGCCCGAATGTTATAAAAATATTAACTCCGTGGTCTGTAGTCCAGAAGCGAACTATACCAACTGAGCCGCTTGTCAGCGAAGTTAGTGTCAACTTTTGCAGATAGAGGGTGTCATGTGGTCAGCGCAACGGATCCCCACGGCCATTAATCTCAGTTTTCTAGACCAGAGCCGCCATTTCCTTGAAATAGCTCCTCAGTTGTCCTCATGAGCTTCAGTGGGTCCTGTTCCAGACCCACTACTTCTCAGAAAATCTAGTAGCGCCGGGAATCAAACCCAGGAACTCTGACCACTAGACCACAGAGGCGGTCTATAAAATGTATTAAATATAAAAATTTAAATTTTTAAAAATATTAAAATATTCCAATCCTCAACAAGAGGATTGCATGGAAATTGCATCTAGAAATGATAGAAGTCGAGACCTTCAGAATGTTTATTAGAATCTACTCCCTATTCAAATCTGAGTGATTAAGCACTGACATTATACAACTCCAGAAAGCACTAATTAAATCATTAATGACTTATGCTTTCCCCCATCTGGGAATTTTGTGGCAGATATTTTGAAATTGCAGTGCTTGCAAAACAAGGGTCTCTGCACCATGGTAAATTTCCAAGGTGCACACCGGTCCATGAGTTGCACATGGCTGTCCAAGTACCATATATTTATGATTACATAACGAAATTCTGCAGGCAACAAGCAGAGGCCATACAAAATCATGAAAATGCAAATTTTTTCAACATCGGAATAGGTGAAGGCCGACACAGAAAAATATAACAGGCTTAAACTTGGCTGTGGTCAAGCATATGATCATTCAAGTGACAAGGCAATTGTAATGAGCTACATGAGTCTGGGCATGATCTGCTGTGCCAAGCCTAGACTGACAGAGGCCTTGTATGTATTGTACTAGAGTTACATGTAAAAGTAACGTTCCTACCTCATGACTCAAGGTACGTGGGTTCAAATCCGGCGGAGGTCGTGGAATTTTTAAGGGCGGAAAAATTCAGGGAACAAATCCTCCGGGAGGGACTTTAAGCCGTGTGTCCTGTTTGATAGATTTACAGCACGTAAAAGATCCTAATGTCTCTAGGAGACCTCTGAGCAAATTAGGCAAAGTTTCCCGCCCAGATAGTTTCCAATTCCTCCGGTAGATGGGGGAGTATCGTGGACCACTGCCAGAGAGGGCCGACCTCGATGGCAGAATGGGGCTGATAGCAAGCACCAGTACTGGAATGGCATGGTGACAGTAGAAATTAAAGGGGACACACACAATAGATCAACAACTGGTCGCAGTGCATGGGGAAACCCACCCCCTCCAAAAAAATAATAATAAATACATATAAAATAATAAATAGTAGATAACAACAAAGAACTGGACCCTTGATAAGTGAGTTTGTGGAATGCTGACATGTGAAGTTGTAAATATAGATGTACTCCTGATTTTGACTGTGGTAAATGACAGACACATCTGTGTGTCACAGACGGCATCCCATATCAACAAAATCGCAGCTGTCTGACAGTAACAAGAATCTGATCTTGTGCCCCACATGGGACTTGACAGCAGCACTAGCTGGCCAGCTGACTGTCAGTCATAACATGACTTTGAAGACAGTTAGCTGATAGTTGAGGACCAGTTGTGAGATGGTAGGGAGCCGGCAGCAATGTGAGCAGAGGAGAACGTTCTTGGGAGCCACTACCAGGCAAAGACTAGTGAAGGCTTAACATGTGTTATTGTGATTTGTTGTGTGTGTAGATTATTAAAAGTGTAATAACTATTTGTAGTTATAAATCCAAACCCTGTGTCTAGTCACTAACACATGACAGTATAAATGTAAATGGTCATGTTCATTCACTGTATATGATAAAGACATGTTTGTCAAATAAATAATTATGTGGTATAAATAGTCAGTAATTAACAACTGAAATAATATAAAGTTTCAGATTTAGCTTTGTTGTAGATATATGGATGAATAATTCCATTTGTGATTTGTAATATGACAATCTAAATTCACTGGGTATTCAGGTATTCTGCATTTTGTTAACAGTTCTATACAGTGTCATACCATGAAGTGATGTGTCATGGAGCTGGTTTAGGCTGTATCCTATTTATTTATATTATAATGTTTGTCATGTTTTGGAACAGTTAATGACTGATTGTTAGTAGTCATTTAAGATCTTACTGTTCGCTTGTCTAGTGCACCATTTAACTGTCATTTTGGTGCCTTTCAGCCAGCACTGGACTGACTTACGGTCTCACCGTACATACGTTTGCATTACAGCAACATCTGGCTCAAACTGAGGTTCATCTCAACTGCACAGCTTGAGAGCTCCACAGTACTTTTATCAAGGCATAGTCATTCTGGAGATCGTCTGGCCAGTGGCATGGGCTGAGTGGTTGGAGAACAACCTAGGAGCCAACAAGGGGGTGGTGAATTCTGGAAGAATCCAGAAGGAGGGGAGCATGCATATATTACCCAAGTTTGGGTCATGTGATAATACACACTTTTATTTTACTTAAAAATAATTTTTCTTTGGGGTCTAGATATTCCCTCCCTTTGTTTCTGATAGTATGACTATTATGTCTCATGTTACTGTAATTATATTTTATCTTCATTGTATGCATCCTTTTGTTATATGTGGTATGCTTAATGTTCAAGTTCTGTAATAAAGAAATTAGTACTATATTAGCATTTGTTTATTGTGCAGAAGAATTGCTACATGTTTCGACACTGCTGGGTAATCATCAGGCAATCGTTAGATGAATATGTCACTCGCTATTGGACTGTTTACTAATAAGGATCCAGATCAGTGATTTGCAATTTTTTTTGTTTGGTTTGTTGTAATTGTTAAATTCACTTACTTACTCATGGAGCCGAGCCCTTCTTGAGGGGTCGCCAATTCTGCAGCTACCCAAGAATTTCCCAGCATTTTGTTGAACCCTAAGGTTCATCACCATGTTCACAAGAGCCCTCCACTGGTCCCTATCCTGAGCCAGATTTATCCAATCCATACCATCCCATCCTATATCTCTAAGATCCATTCTAATATTGTCCATCCATCTATGCCTTGGTCTTTCCTGTGGTCTCTTTCCTTCTGGCTTTCCCTCCAATATCCTATACACATTCATCTCCCCCATTCGTGCTACATGACCTGCCCACCTCATCCTCCTTGACTTGATCATTCTAATTATACTTGGAGAAGAGTACAAGTTATGAAGCTCCTCATTATGCAGTTTTCTCCAACCTCCTGTGTTTTCATCTCTCTTTGGTCAAAATATTCTCCTCAACACCCTGTTCTCAAACAACCTCAGTCTATGTTCCTCCCTTAATGTCAGAGACCAAGTTTCACACCCATACAGAACCACAGGCAAAATTATAGTTTTGTAATTCTAATTTTTATGTTTTTGGACAACAGACGAGAAGACAAAAGGTTCTGGACTGAATGGTAGCAAACATTACCCGAGTTCAATCGCCTCTTTAATTTCCTCCTGAATCAGGTTTCGATCTGTTATCGTTGTTCCCAAATATCTGAACTGTGCCACATTTTCAAAACATCTGTTTCCTATCTTTATGTCATGATTTTGCTCTGCATTTTGGTGCCGAGACAGCAACATATACTTAGTCTTCTCTGTTTCCTTCTAGACCAATCTCTTTACTTGTATCAATTAAAGTTTGTGTGTTTTTCTTTATGGTATCTACATTAACACCCAGTAGATTCACATCACTGGCATAGACAACAGCTATGTGTCCCGTTTAGTTTCAGTCCCACCTGGCTTCCCTGGACCTTCCTAATTGCATATTCTAAGGCAAAGTTGAAAAGGAGTGTCGATAAAGCATCTCCTTGTTTTCGACCATTCTGGATAGGAAATTTATCAGACAAATGTTTACCTACGTGGACTTTACTATACATTTCGTTTAAAGAAATTTAATCAACGTAACTAGTTTCATGGGTATCCCAAACTCTATCAGAATATTGTACAGTACTTCCATCCTAACTGAATCATAGGCTTTCTTGAAGTCTATGAATAGCTGATGTACTCTCTCATCATACTCCCTTTTTTTTCTCCAACAGGCATACGATGAGACAGTACATCAGCTATTCATAGACTTCAATTGTTAAATTTAAAATTTGCAAGTCTTCTGACCTTTTTTTGTGACGTAATGGTGTATGCCATATATTATGGGGCTTTCTAGGGAGTTGGCATTATTCTTTTTTAGTACCTTAATGTTTCTGAACGCAAACTGTTGATATATCATGCCGTTTAAAAACTGAAGTTCTTCTGCCTTTACTTTTGTTGTACAGAATGGGACCATCCTGAGTGTGGGTGCTGTTCTTATTAATTTCTCAGTGTATATTTGTGGTGTTCTATATGATGACATATTCTATTCTTCATAATGGTTTGGGCAATTATGGTGGAACTATTTGTGAGGTATGTTGTACATATGTGAGTCCCTGTCCTCCTGTTGTCATTCCCTTGGTGTGGTTCTGTCTCTACAGATCATCTGCCAGACTACGTGGCATCACATCCTGAAAGAAAACAATCTTGTTTCCAATTCATTTCATCATCTGTCTTTGCAGTCAAAGAGGGATGGATACAATACATATCAGCACTAACTGGAAATCCTATCCAACTAATACTACTCCTGAGTTCAACAGTTTTAACAGGTTACCTAAAATCGTTTCCATTGAAATACTGCCTTCTTTATTGAACAATACTGAAATCAAAACTATACCAGTTTTAATTTAAATAAGAAATCTAACATAGCCTCCATGGGCATGTTAGACATTAATAGGCTGTATCCACAACTTAGGTGAACAAGATTTTCCAATCAGTGTGCGCTTCATTTAAGACAAAACTTTTTTTTTTCATACTTTTATTTTATTTATTTTACAGTAAACTGAATTCTGTGTTTTGTGAAGTAATGAAGAGTCTGGATCAAGCTTGTCCTGTACAGACAACACTTCTAATATGAAAAGTATGCTAGTTCTGTTACAGACTTGTGGGTAGGTGGTAAAAATACTGGTACTTACAATATTACTGTTACCCAATTTAAATAATTCCAATCCTCTGCTCCATTATTCCATTAATGCACAATAAAATAATTTAATTGCACTGTCAGTATGTAGAAGAAAAAAATACAGCATCACAAAGCAAAACATTCAGCATATGTAATGAATATCTCTGCTGGAAGCGTTATTTACTCCAAGACCAAACCTGGTATGAATAATAATTATAATGCTATTGTTTTACAATAAATGCATATCCACCAAGTCTCTTACCATTGTGTGATTATATCTGAATAACATAAACCACAAAGAAACATACAGGCTGACATGTTTAAAACAATTTCACCTACTGACTCCTCTTATGTGGTCACATTCATACACTACTCCTTTAATTACACTTATACTTTATAACAATATGTCCTTACCTAGCTATTACATTATATGCAGTTATCTGTAGGACAATGTACCCTCAAAGCCTTTGGAGAAATGATGCTAGAACATTTGGTGCAGTTACATTTATATTTAACAGACATCAAGCTTTGGCAGATCAAATACAACAGCATAAGCATTTTACAGGAAATACCTACACCACACATTGTATTTCATCCATATTATACTACAAACTAGTACTCTCTAATATATGCTTTCCTGCTTTCTTTTTAAGACCAAGATTGGAATTCCTTATTTTAAGCAACATAATGAAAACTCTTGCATATACTTTTGAGGTTCAGCATCATCACATCTTTCTTCCCCATTTTGTAATTTTATCAGATGATAACATTTGGTTAAAAACAAGCTCAATTTATATTGAGGATTTAATGGGGAATGTTTTAAATGAAGCTGGCACCAGTATTTCTCAGCTTAATGAAAATTAAAACTGACGTAGAATTCAATAAGTTTCTGAATGTACGAAATATCTGGTGCCAGATTAATTATGCTTTATAATATAAGCATGATAACCAGTCACAAGTCATGATTCGGGTTCAATTCATCTACTGCTCCTCATCTCCAAGATCAAGTTTAACTTTTGAGAAATCAAAATCTTCTCCAGTGCCCCTTCGAAATATATCAAGCACATCGAGGCAAGTAGTTTCAAAATGGGTCGTTGCATCATAAGAGGCAGAAATGAAGATTTGACTCTGAAGGCCGTCATCTGTTGGCTCATAATAATCACTCACGCTCACAAATTTCTGCCGAATTGGGCCAAGCAAATCAAGACCTGGCTTAATCTCAACTTCAGGATTATCGGTTTCAACTGTTGTGGACACCATTGCGATGAACCAGCCCTTTGCTGCCACTTGATGTGTGTAGCTTACCAAAGAGACATAGATGTCAGACTTACGTCCAACTTGTTTCTGAGGAATGATAATCTGTGTTGAGAGAGCATCACGTGTGTTGGGGACCGGATGATTCATGAGACAAATGCACCTGATCACCTGGCCTGTCTTCTTCACCTTGTCAGGGACATAAGAAGGGTCACAGTAGACCTGCGCACACTTTGCAACTTCTTCTCCTGATCGGACCCCCACAACACGGCCATTCTCCATCACAATGTTGTCAATGGGTTTATCTAGCATATAGGTACCTCCATAAATAGCGCTGAGACGTGCAAAACCCTGAGGTAGCTCACCCAAACCATACATTGGATATAGGTATGGTGACTTCCCATATCTTGCGAGGGAATCGCTGTACAGCTTTATTCGACGTACTGTCTGGATTGCAGTCTGGTTGAGATATTCATCATCCCGGTATAGAGCCAATGCATGGCCTGTAAAATCCTGAGTATTTTTATCAAGCCCAAACTTGTCATATATCTGCTGCATTGTGCATGTGTTGGGATCCAAGTCTTTCCATGTCTTTGGATCGTCTTCACGAACATCTTGAACATAAATCAGAAAATTCCGAAAGCGACGCTTCTCAAACATGCCCATTAGGTCAGAAGCCAGAGCCTCCTTTTGATCAACAGGGACTTTAGAAATCTTTCCACCCTTGTAAACATAGCTGCCTTCAACAGATTTAAATTCCAAGTACCTCGTAACTCCGGTATGGATCAGTAACTTCACTAACGACCCATTTGCCATTAAAAACTTCGGAATCAAATCAACATTCCAATCTCTACCTCTACCGTAACATTCATCTGGTGCGGGGGCACCAAAACGTGTAAAAAGTTCCTCCAAAGGCGTTATGGAAGCTGACTCGCCACCGTAATACTTGTTGCGGTCGACGTGGAGTACTTTCTTACCCGAAACCGACAGCATCCCACTAAGGATACACTCCTTCAGTCCAGTTCCCAAAACAATAGCATCGTATTCCTCATCCATTGCGTCCAAAACTAAGTAAACTCAACAAATCTGACACTGCCGAAACTCTACGCCAACAGAACAACCAGCTTCCTGCGGAACGCCAACCGTAGGTCAATTTTCCACAAATCAAGGGGAACAACATAACTTCTTCAAATATCTCTACGCGAAAACATATAAAATTGATACTAAAAGAGAGTAACACGTGTGGTACAAAATGAGTTATAAAGTATGCTATTTACATAGATTATTTTATAATGTTTAAGAAATATTACTTATGAATTGAAATACGTTTCTCGTGTATCAAAATTTGTAGTGGTCATACTGGCAGTTTGTGTGAAGTTTACCAGTACACCGCATAGATGGCGCTTAGGTCCATACAGTTGGCCCGTGCCTTGAGACCGTTGAGACGATCCGTGGCGCCCAGTGGTTAGTTGGCAGATGAAAGGAGAGACGTGTATGAAAGTGTGTTGGGAGGAGTATAATCGTGTTTTGTGTTGTGAGTGGTATAAGTTGGGCTGTTTGTCTTCAGTGAGTGATATGTGCTGCATAAATTTCGCGTTATCATTAAATGTGGGCCTGGCCTAAAATTGATGAACTGAAGTTATGAAGAAAAAGGCAAGTTTAGATTATTTTCCGTGTTATAAATGACATCATTTGACATAGATTTTTAATATATAACAGTATATTATGCGTGTGCATGCTTGTACCCTTGTTGAATTGCACGATATTCATACATTACTTTCCTGTCATTCACTATTATCGGTGGATTGCAGATGTGCAAACATGCCAACACTCGGGAGTGGAGAGAAAGCTCAACAGGAACAGCAGCAGCAGCAGCAGGAACAGCTACTACCATCGCCGCCTCCGCCGCCACCACTGCCACCGTCACTGCAAGGAAGTCAACATTGTGCCACTTATTTGTTCCCATCAACACAGTCTGCAACAGTGGTGCCAATGTCTGGTGCAGTGAGCAGTGCAGCTGCAAATTCACATTCCGCATCAGTGCTGAAAGGGCATGCCCGAAGTGCAAGCCATGGTGGTGTTGGGACATCTCTTACTTCAGCCAGTTCAGTGGGTGCTGTAGGTCGCCCTTCAGCCTTGAAGCAAAATCGTGGACATCAGCGTGCATTCTCACAGGGTCAGATTGTGGAAGGTGGGACAGGATCTGCTTTGCGTGGTCATAGTCGTGTTGGATCGAGGACCGATTTTATTCTTCCTCCTGGACATAAAGATTCAGATGGTACAGCAGTGGGGCCTGGTAGTGCTGCGAAGCCAAGCTGTCGTGGGGGACATTCAAGACAAGCTTCCAGATCAGAGTCCATTTATACTTTAAGACAAAGTGGGCCTCCATCTCTTTGGACTCAGTTTCAGTCATACATTCTTCGACGAGGAGGAAAAGCAGATGTTGACGAACCGAGGTACAGAACTGTTGTTCCAAACCATCTTGTGCCACCCCGAACACCTAGAAAAGCTCACCCCAATGGGTGCTGTCCCGATAATCGTATCCGGACCACTAAATATACTTTATTATCATTTCTCCCAAAAAATCTGTTAGAACAATTCCATCGAGTGGCAAACTTGTATTTTATTTGTATTGTGTTATTGAATTGGGTCCCAGCAATCAATGCATTTGGTAAAGAGATTGCCATGATTCCAGTACTGTTTGTGCTTGGTGTAACAGCCATAAAGGATATGTTTGAGGATCGGAGAAGACATGCAAGTGATAAGCGTATCAATAACTCCACATGCCGAGTATACAGAAGGTGAGTGATATAATGGATTTTGATACAAAAAATGTAGGTCCCGTTAACCTAACCATATGTACTAAATCTGCCCCATTAGAAGTATGTGTTGGATCAAAAACCAGTCTTAATTGTAACATGAAGGTTGGGAGAACCTGGTCTTCAATCTGTACTTCTACCTGTATTTTCATGGAGACGTTATATAAACTTCATGTATAAAGGTAACACATTCAAACATGTCATGTTCAGAGGCAGGTGACAGTTGTGGAGAATGTTAGCAGTAACATTCTGCAGTATGAAAGGAACTTAAGGATACTAATGTATCGTCTCAGTTCCAGTTGTTTAAGGAAATTCATCAGTATAAAAGTTATGGCATCCTTAAAACGGTGTCCTTGTGTGTAATAGACACCCCATTGTCTTGAATATTGGGTGTACAGGTAAACCTGGCCCAGTCACGGTAACTGAGCAGTCTAAGATATGTACTGTCTTCCCTCACTTGGAAGTCAGGTTTGTGGGTTCAAATCCCAGACAAGCCATGGATGTTTGGTATATGTGTATGTTTATTCTGTGTTGTCCTGTGTTTATTTAGAGGCCTTGCGATGAGCTGAACACTCGTCCAAGGAATCGTACTGTCTGCAAAATGATCATGAAACTGAAAATAAGAGGCCAGGGCTCAAGGGAGCTGTAGAGCCAGTGAAAAAAAAAAGAGGTTAAACTGCAAGCAGGACAACATGAATATGCTTTCCTGATCAGTACAGGCAAGTTAATGGAAATTGGCAGTGAGCATAAATACAAATAAATAAATAATTGATATATATGAGCCATATTGTGAAACTAAGGCTGAGAACTTTTTTAAATGACAAGTAGATTTGAGCTGTATTTTTGGAAATCGTGATGCAGGTATCATTAATTTTAACAATATGGACGAATATGTTACTGTCATTTGTGAAAAGCAGAATAATCCCCTCTTATTTCTAAAATTTGATTTTAGATTTAGCGCAGGTTTGTAAAGAATGATCGCAGATATTCTGGCTGAATGGTTAACACTCTTGATTTATCAGGTTGTTGGTTGAAATTTGTTGTGGTTTTCCACAGTACCTCCACACCAGTGCTAGGCTAGCGCATCACAGTAGGCCAAAAAGAAAATAAACTCCGTGGCCTGTAGTCCTCAAGTGAACTATACCAACCAAGCAACCGCTGTTTGTTGGTGAAGTTAGTGCCAACTTTTGCAGATAGAGGGTGTCACGTGGTCAGTGCAACGGATCCCGACGGCCGTTAATCTCGGTTTTCTAGACTGGAGCCGCCATTTCCTTAAAATAGCTCCTCAGTTGTCCTCATGAGCCTGAGTGGACCCCGTTCCAGACCCACTACTTCTCAGAAAATCTGGTAGTGCCGGGAATCGAACCTGGGACCTCTGGATCTGTAGGCAGGAACTATGACCACTAGACCACAGAGGCGGTCATCAGAGTAGGCCATGAACATTTTTTGCACTCTCTCTCTCTCCACTTCTTCACTTACTAGTCACCTTAATACTTGACACTGAGTAGTCTAAGCTACTGACAGTGTCATTAAACTATAAGCACTCATGTGTGAGCAGGAAATGACCAACTTTTGTCATGCTCTTGTGTGGATGATTAGAGGAAGGTCTTTATAAAGGCTGCCACACTAATGTTGGGTTAGGTTTTGAGTGTATGAAGCGGGTATGAAAGTGGGGATATTTTAGTTCTCTTCCCTGTTTGTTCATCTTTGTGCTCTTGTGTGTTAAATATTTTTTAAAATTGTAAGGTACGGTGAAGTTATCTCTTTGGCTATTTAGTTAATTCCTGTGCCATGAAGACATGGGGGAGTGGAGGTACAGCTGCATGTTTCTTGACCTGAGCACTAGGTGGAGGTGAGTGATCAGCTTCACACCTCTACCACTTTGCCCCCAAGGGAGAAAGCTCCCAGTACCCAGTGGATAGGGCCTGGGTGGGCCCCAGAGTCATTCTGTATTCTGTGGAGAAGAGAGAAATGTTACACTGCTCAGAATTGAACCTGTGCTCTGCAGCTTGTAGCCCAACACTATACCAACTGAGCTATCCTGACTCCTTTTAAAATTGTTGTTGTTGTTATTGGAGAGTGTGGGTTTCCCCATGCACTTAGACCAGATATTGGTCCATTGTGCGTCCCCCTGTGATATTCTACCAGTCTCTATACCCTACCGGTACTGATGCGTACCATCAGTCCCAACTCAGCCAGCGAGTTCGGCCTCTACTGGCTCAGCGGTATCTCGATGCTTCCCCCATCTACCAGAGGTGTTAGAGACTACTGTTGGGTGGGAAATGTCCTGAATTTGGCTCAGAGGTCCCCTTGGGATATGAGGTTCTTTTACGTGCCGTAAAGCTACGACACGGGACCCACGGCTTAAAGTCCCTCCTGGAGGACTTGTTCCCTGAATTTTTGCGCCCTTAAAAATTCCACGACCTCCGCCAGGTTTGAACCGCATACCTTGAGTCACGAGGTGGGAACGTTACCCCTATACTACGGAGGCCGCTTTTAAAATTGTAAATTGTAAGTTAAACCAATGTAGAGAATTTTCTGTATGGGGACCCTCACCAATTTAGAGAATTTTCTATATGGGAACATGACATGTGGTCAGTGCATTATTTGATTATGCTTTTTTGTAGGTTGAACAATGTACCCTGTTTTTCATCTTGGTTCTGATTACTGATGTAGTATGATTGGAATAAATGGGTGGAATGGTGCAGACCGAAGCATGCTTAGTTTTGTTGCTCATGTTATGTTACATGATTCCAATATAATGTACCTGCAGAGACAGAGCTAATGGGTTTTTGAAGTTGTTTGTTAGACCCAGTGTTGGTTTCAGAATGGGAATGGGGCCATGAGTTTGATGCTGCTTCACTTTTGAAGTGTATATGAACAGTGCTGTAGTTATGTGACAGACCATGCATATTCACTGTGCAAAAAATGTGGAAAAAGAAAAGCCATGACTTAACATGTTTTAAATTTACTGTGTAAAATATACATCATGTGTATAATGAATTAATAATTCCCTAGTGTTCGCTATAATATGAGGGCGGGAAATGAGTAGTGATATAAATTGTATTCCAAATTATATCAGCAACGGAATAATTTCCTGCAGCTCTGTTATTTTTTTATTAGCACATCGAGTACAGTTAAATTCTTGCAAATTAGTGTACTTCTTTTGGCTTATTTTGGACTTCATCCATCGTCTGGTATGTAAAAGACAAAAAAGCACGACGTTTCGGAGACTAGATCTGTCTCCGTCTTCAGGTGGGTAGGGAAGGATAAACCTACGCAGTTGGGCCCGTTAGAAAGAGCTAGTCTCAATCACTGGACCTATTGGTCCAGGTTTATCCTTCCCTACCTACCTGAAGACGGAGACAGATCCAGTCTCCGAAACGTGTTTTTTTTTTTTTTGTCTTTTACATACCAGACGATGGGTGAAGTCCAAAAGAAGCACAGTATACACCATCGTCAGAATCCTTTGAAGTCTATCTTGCAAATTGGGTTAAAGGAGGCAGAAGAAAATGAAATCAGTTGAAGAATAATACGATATGTTCTTGTTTTGTTGAACAGATTCTGCACAGTTAATTACATACAAGTCAGACAAATAAGAGAGAAAATGAAATGGGTAGCAGAATTGTTGTGTTTTGTCAGCAGATTCAGCACAGTCGAATGCTTGAAAATACACAAGGAAGGCATAAAGACTGTCGCGTTTCCTAGACAATGTGAAAAGAAATTTTGTGGGTCCCGAATTTGGACCAGTATTTATTGGACGGTCAGTCTTTACAGTCACAAATACAGTTATTCCACTTATAAAGTCTTCGGACGTTTCTTATTCATTGTTACAACACTCTTGCACCGCTAATCTCGGTGAAGTGTCTTCTGCTCTGCTCGGAGCTCAACTTAACTCTCGCTGGATGCAAACTAACTGGTCCGTCGAATACGAACTCTGCTGGTCTCTTGCCTAGTACGGTCCTTACTCGGACCGAATAGGTAACACCTTGTCGAAAGGTTAATTTCGCCCGCTGCTATGCAAATAATCTCTTGTTTGCCGCAGGAATACGTGTTTGCCTCAATTCGTTTGTAGCTGTGGAAACCCCACTTTTAGACTTTCATCTCCGGGCCAACGATTTCCCGGCATTGCTTTCTCATGGTCCGTTGCGTAGCGATGAATGTGTTATAGCCCGGCTTTCAGGCAGCACGTCACAATACCAAACAGTTTATGTTTGTTGAGGTCAGAATCTTTCATCTTCTGTCTGTTACATAGAGACTACAGGTTTTAATATATTCATACAGTACTATAATGTTATCTGGTTTTTTGTATTGACGGTTCGGAAACAGATGATGAACCATTGATACTGACTGAGATGCAGGCTGACACGTGTGTTTGCAGATTTGGTCCATATTCACATCTAGAGACACTTCATGATTCACTGGTTCACCAAGCCGTAATTATTTTTTTGTAAGATACGTTTTTGCTCCTACTTTATGTTTCCACCCAGAATACTGGGAAGTATTGTTAGTACCCAAAGAGAGGCAGCTACAAGAAACCCCTGCGTTTATGCAGAATCAGACATAAGAAGCCTACTCACAGATGTAATCAGTACCTCGTGTATCTCTGTCCAACCCAGCGAAGAATTGTGTGAAAAATGATAACAGCAGATATTTCATGAAGCTTACAACGTACTGAAGCAGCGAAGATAGATGGCACACTTGTAAAAAAGTAAGTAAAGCTGTCCCTGTAACAGGCCGTGGAGGCCCATAGGGTTGTGAGATGTTGAGGTTCCCACATTTTCCAGACAATCGGCTCACAGATGGCGGTAAGGTTGTCACCCTTACGCGCCGGCCGGCCTTAAACCCCAAGAATATTCCTGGTGCCCACTTCTGTTAGAGGCTGAGTCGACCCCAGGTCCATAGTGCGTCTGAAAGGATTAGGTCAATTAAAAAAAATCCAGTGACCTCATCGGGACTTGACCCCGCGACCTTCCGGCTTGTCGCATAGTGCCTCAACCAACTACGACTTGTAGTGACAAGTAATTTACTAAATATGTTGTTAGTTAGGTACCAGTTAACATGCCGTTCTTGTTCTTGGAAGAGCATGAGTTTGAGAATAAAATGCATAATATGTGGATTTGAAAAAAAAGAGAAAGTGTTAGAAAAGAAGCAAATTACACAGTGAGGAGCTTTATGATTTGAGCTTTTCACATATCAATATCAGCTCCATGGATTAAAATCAGCAATATCTGTTGTTGATTACTTTTGTCAGCAAAGGAATATATGACTCCATACAATGTAATATTTTGACTTTTGATAGGCGGTAGGCTCAAGAATTTTCTCTTCCACGTCGTCCAGACCGGCTCTGGGGTTCACCGAACCTCCTATCCAATGGGTACCGGGAGCTCTTTCCCCGGCGGTAAAGCTGCCGAGGCTTGAAGCTGACCACTCACTTCCAGTTAGTGCCCAGGTTGAGAAAATGTAAAAT